GAGACACACTTGTATTTTTTGTTTAGACGGACATGTCTGAAATTTTAGCCTCTTGTTACATATATTTCAGTCATATGACTGAAGTGCCAACATACATAAAAAGAGTAGATGTACATGACTGAAAGTGTATCAATTTTAACATGTATCTTACTAAGAAAAAAAAATTGAAATTATAAAATGGATATTAGTTAAATGTTGACATTAAAAGCGGATATTAATTAATTAAATGACAGACATCAAAATCAAGTATTAATTAAATGTCAACATCCAAAACGGATATTCATGCACTTCTCTCATATTTTCCATTAAATATAATGGCACAAATATAATGGATACTTTGGATTATGACCATGTCATAAATGAGATCAACTTTTAATAGAAAAATAACATAAATAAACTTTTCTTAAAATTTAATGACATATTCAAGTATTTTCACCTAGATAATAATAATAAGAAAGAGGAAAGGAAAGACAAGATTGCAATCTAGTTTCTTGCTTTTGGATAACCAAAGGTGGTGGGCGGGTCACCCTATTAGTTTTATAGAAAAGGGTCAAAATTGCTTTTGAACTACGCGAAATAGACCACTTATACCCTCCATTACATTTTGGGATCAAAACTAACCCCACTGTTATCCCAGGAGACCACAAATACCCTCAAGAGTTAACACCCCAAGTTTTTAGTGACATGGCAAGCCACATGGGACTAAACCCTCCACCTAAGCATTGCCAACTAAGATTCACTACAAAAGAACTTGACCTTTAGTGGCGACAAAGTCGCCACAAATTCCCAAAATATTGCCACTAAATGAGTGATTTTTTGTAGCGACTAAGGCTCCAACAACCATTCGCTAGTAAAACCTATTTTTTCAACAAAAAAATATGATAATTAATTTTTGATTGCAACCTAATTTTCTAAAATAAATAACTTGCAATATTAATATTAAAAACATACAATATTATTACGAAAAATCATCAAAATTACATCTCGATTCAAATCTCCTACTATATAATGCATCATTGTACATTTTATACATTTAAATATGACATAAATATAAAACATACGGTGTCTTCAAACTCCTACTTAATCGATATCATTTTTTATTTTTTAAAAACAATGAAGAAAAAACACAAAATTAGAATTTAATGTTAAAAACTTTTAGTGACGGTTTTCTGGGCTTTTGTGGCGACTGTTGTTGCCGCTAAAAGTCTAGTTATTTTGTAGTGAATCCTAGTTGGCAACGCTAGGTGGAAGGATTAGTCCCACGTGGCTTGCCACGTCAATAAAAATTTGGAGTGTTAACTCTTGAGGGTATTTGTGGTCTCTTAGGATAACAACAGGGGCATTTTTTATCCCAAAATGTAACGAAGGATATAAGTGGTCTATTTCACATAGTTCAGGGGCAATTTTGACCCTTTTCCGTTAATTTTATAATGGCAATATGTTTCACGTGATTCCATAAATATATATATTTTGTATTACAAAAATATTTAGAATAATAATTTTGGAGAACATGGTAAGGAACAACAAAGTGTAAAGAATATTTCTAAAATTAGAAAACATAAAAACCAGTAAACAGAAAAGAATGTAAAAAATATATTTTTCTTAAGAAAAAAAATTGAGCCCACTAAATGCACAATATTTTTTTAAGGAAAATTATTTCCCTCAAGTACCCGAGGTCAATCATAACCCACTAATTGTAAAGTGAATGGTGGAGAATCATATTTGATGGATCTTCCTGCCTTATTCTACCCTTAAAAGAGTCTTACAATATATATAGATGGTTCCGTCCATGCGACAAAGCAATCTATGACACAACATGTTTACAAGTGTTAGAGCGAGTAAAAGTCTTGTATTGGTTGGAGAATGGACTGATGGTCTGCTTATATATACTTGGACAATGCTAACTTTAGGGGTTGAGTTAAGACTAAGATCCATCTTTGTTGGGAACAATATTGATATTGGACTGAAATTACAAAGTTGTAAATAACATATTACAAACATTGTGTTGTGGCAAGCTATTGCCTTGAAAATGATTTCGACCCGACTCTGGTGCAATCATTGTGGCCGGTTGCTCCCCAAGGTTCCACAGTTACTCTCAAACAAGTGGTTGAAAGTTTAGAGGTTGCCCAAAACTAATTGCCCAAAAAAAATTCTAAGAATAAGCTAAGAAAAGAAAGGAGGAAAAAGTTTTTCTCTTCTTTTTGTTGGTAGTGTGGTCTTATGTTCACCCAAGATATTTCTTTATGTAAGGATTTGGAAAAGAGGAGTTTCAAAGAGAAGAAATAATTTCTTAGAAACGTATGAGAATGTTAATGACATTAAAGGTCATTATATCACACTTAAAAAAAATCTAATTTGGAACATATATGTTATTCATCTCTTTTGTAACGTAATATTTTGTATCCTTTGCTTTACTCTTAATTAATAAAGGTAAAATTAATATCACAATCCCCCACTAATCTATTTTAATTAAATGGGTCAAGTGGTAAAGGGTATTAATTAAATTGTGAATTTGACCCATTTACTATTCAACTATATTAATTATTTAATAAAAAATCATCAACTAGATACTCGTAGCTACCGAATAGTTTAAAATTTCCATAATTTTTTTTACAGAAAGAGCAAAATAATCCTAGTTCTCAAAACGACCTAAGGAGTTGTTACATTATCAGTCTTAAGAACTATAGTTTTGCGTAACTTCTAAACAATGGGACAAATTCTAAATGATGACCTAAAAGGCATATTTGCATAAATCAGCTTTTAATAAGTTGTCTTGAGTCAGAGACTCAGACCCGTAAATAAGAAGGGCCGATGGGGCGCATTTGGGAAAGTCAGGCCGATCGGGTGTCTTCATTCAAGCAACGGTACAGAAGAAGAACGAAACGAAATCACTTTGTGTCAGCGGGGCCTTCAAGCATCCGAAATACGCCGGGATTCAAAATGACAAAAAAAAGGTATATTATGTTAACTTATATGAGTCCACCATGAGTCAAGATACCTAGTTCTTTGACTATATTAATAATAAGAAGAATAGTAAATGCTTAACGTAATTAAGAAACACAAATGTTTACGTGGAAACTTCTTTGCTCAAGGAGGGAAAAATCATGACCTGTTCTACAGAATTTCTCAACAACTTCACTAACTTCAAGCAACTTGTGAGTACAGACTCCAATAATTACAAAGAATTAAAACTCTTAATCCTACACCTATTGTAATACCTCTTTTACAAGACTCAAAGCAGTAACCTTATTGCCCATTATATCAACTACATCTAGTTAACATAGACTTCAAAAACAACTTTGGCTAGTTCTGGCCATGAACTCAACTCCTCCAAGATTACAACGGAAATGATTTATATTCCTTTATAAAATAGGAATATATCTTACAATTTACTAACTCAGAACACAAGACACAAAATACAATAGAAGACTCTGCAACACTTGATCAGGTGCCTAGTTGAATTTGAGCAGTGTTGTTTGCTAAAATGGATTTTGCTTTGTGAATGAATTTGCTTGCAAAAACTATGTTGTTTCTCGTCAAAGTGTCTAATATATAAGATAGACAAAACAACCTAGTAGCATCTCATTGCTCTAGAACTCTGCACCTCTGTTACCATGCCCACCTACCACAACAGCTTTTGCAGCTGCATTCCACTAACTTTCCCTGAACGATCACATCTCGAAGGATCATGTCCCTCTACCAGATCCAACTATTCCATAGAGTTTGTTAAATCATTGGAACATCAGAATACAACATACTATTAGTATAGTATTTATTAATTTAAGAGAAAATACATCAAAAAAAACTCCGAACTTGTCCACTAAACTTACTTTAGTCCTTTATCTTTACAAATTATTATTTACCCCCTTAATCTCATTTCAAGTGAATTAAAATCCACCCAAAAAGCTGATGTGGCAAATAAAAAAACAAAAAACGAGTGGAAATGTAAAAAATAAAAAAAATAAAAATAAATAGGTCCCTTTTTTTCTTTCCAACCAATAAGGTTTCATCTTCCTCACACCCCACCACCTTTATCCACCAACAACCCCACCCTTTCGTTCTTCGAACCCCCCACCCGCACCCATCTTTCTCCTATTTCGAACCCCGCCGTCACCCATACTTGCCTCACCCCTTTCTTCTTCTTCTTCGAGCTTCCTCCCCGCCACCTTCTTCTTCTTCGAGCTTCCTCCCCGCCACCTTCTTTCTTCTTCTTCGAAACACCCCCACCTATTCCTTCATTTCAGATTATTCTTGCTTATTCTTAGAAGTGGTGAATAAGAAAAAATGAAAAAATCAACAACTTATTGTTGCTTCAAGATCTTACTTATGGAAGGGTTTGTTGATTATGATGAACTTGAAGTTTTTTTTAATTAAAAAAATTTTAATTTCTTCATCTTAAATTAGTTATTTAATTTGTATTATTTATTTATTTTGATAATGTGTTTTAAAAATTGAATGTGTTTTCTAGTCTTGAATTTGTTAGAGTTTGATTTTATTTTTATAATCTTGGATTAATTCTCAATTTTTTTCTATTTTTACCTTTCTAAAATTGTATAAATAAAAAGAAACAAAAAAGAATTAAAAATACTCAAAATTTAAATAATTTTCAATGTGGCGCTGAGGTGGCAATGTCGTGACGCTGATGTGGCAATGAAATGGCGCGTGTGTAATACACTTGTTACTGTGAGACTAGTATTGTAGTATTAGGGTTGGAAAAAAATCACTTCAAAGATGTTAAGGGGTATTTAAATGCCCGTGTAGTTTAAGTGTTAAAGTAAGTTGTGCTGTCAAGTTCAAGGGTTTTTTTTTATGTATTTTCTCTTAATTTAACTATCTGGCATTTCGTATTCACTGACTCGACTATTCTAAATTCATCGCGTAGGTCCATTAAAGGAGAAGTTCTTCCTACCAGAAATTTCTCCATTTTCATTATAACTCGTAAATTACTGATGGACAAATCTTATTCATAACACAATATCGGCAATAATACATAATGTTTAGGATCTCCAATACTATTACATAGTACACCATTTAACAAAAGGCATGATCATAATCATGGAAATGGAAACTTTTGTATATAAATTTGGATAACCATCTTGAAGCCATGAAGCATAGTAATGCCAAGAAGACCAATGAATATCTTGCAGCAATTGACATGACACTCTCCTTTGCTGCAGCAGCAATTCCAATTGAAGCAACAGAGATAATTTGCATAATGATTTCAAGGACATTTAGACTTTTATATGCTCTGCTACAACTGCTACAATTTATTGTATGTGTCCAGTACCTATGCATTCATATAACAAGTATAATATTTAGATAAGACGATTCACACAATTTAATATCGAGCTATATACACACCTGTCCAAAAGTTGTTCCCTAGCAGGAGTTGGTTGCAAGTCACCAGTAAATTTTGTGCCCCAATCAACTTGGGCACCTCCATATTTGGTCAACCATCTTCTAAAACCAACCACAAGGGCATCTGCCTTTGTTGGTACATAACAAACTTTTTGCCAATTCTGTGGACCTTTTTCCCTTAGCTTGTGCTCCTTCAAAAGGAACTAAATATTACACATTGTAGCGATAATATTTTTGGAGATTCTGATGAACAACATAATTAATTTCTACTAATCAACTTTTTTAAGAAATACAACATATATATACCAGTATAATCCACAAGTGGAGATTGAGGAAGGTAGTGTATACACAGATCTTACCCCTACCTTGAAGGTAGAACGATTGTTCCCACTAGGCCCTCAACTCAAACATAATAAAGTGTTGGTGTAACATACCATAAATACAATAAATTATAATAGATTACAGTTGAAAACAAATTGACAAAAATAAATAAACAATCATTTAGGTTGTGATGATACATAACGTGACATATGATACATTTTTATTAATATTAAAATGTCAAACTAACATAACAGAAGTGAAAAAGTCACGACGAAATACTAAAGATAGCATGATAAATCATTTTGAAAAAATAATATTTTATTTATAATAAAAATCAAAGAACAAGAAATTACAAGAATAATGTTACGACTACTAGTAAAATAAAAAAATTGTAAGAGGATAATTAATTACCTGAAGATGAAGTAAATACAAATCAGAATCAATGATTAGGTTATTGTCAAGGTGAAATTTCCATGGTGGAAATAGTTTATACTCCCAACCAGCAAAGTTTCTGAAGGATGTCAGCATCAATCTGCAATTACCTGGACTTACTGGAACACATAGAAATACTAGAAATATTCTATTTGTATCATTTGATGACGATTCTTCCTGCATCACATCACAAATAAAATAAATCTTAGAAGTACACTTTCATAGTAAAGATCTTTTATATTAGCGATAAGGCAGGTATCCCTCTAGATTATGATCGAAACCTAGAGACACACCTTAATTAAACTAAGATTCTATTATCCTAAATTTATTTATTTTTTTGTAATTTTGTACACCTTTTTGGCTTACGTGACATCCAAACATATCCTACGCGCCTCAACTACGTGGAGTCACAGAGTGTGACACGTAAGCCAAAAGGTGTACAATTTTTTTTAAAAAAATGAGTTTGAACAGGTAATAGGACTTTAGTTTAGTTAAGGTGTGTCTCTAGGATTCGGTCATAGTCTAGGGGTACTAGTGTCTTATCCCTTCATATAATCAATGCAGTTTAACTTTGGGGGGGGGGGGGGGGGGAGGGGGGGTCGTACATCATATTATTCGTCCCATACCTTCTGCCTATTTCATATGTGTGGAACCTGATCTTTTTCGATTCTAACCTTTCCCTCGAATACATTGGGTAGGTAGGACATTTAAAATAGAAGCCAATTTATTTAGATCAATTTTTATGTTATATTATATGTTCTCTATAACAAAATAACATGTTATAACAATCAAAAGGTATTTGGTTAAACGATCATATTAATAGAGAAAATTCGAAAAAGATAATTACCTTTGATTCATAATTATCCAAATAGCTTTGAACACCAAATGGACCATAGTACACACAAGGGGCAATAAATTTGTGTTCATCATGTCCTTGCTTTGCAATAAATCCATTTATGTCTAATTTTTCAAGGCTTATATCAAGTGGTTTTCCTCCTTCTGTATCACCCTTCACAGTGCACATATTAATTATATATTATTAGTTTGGTAAAAATATCCAAATACAATAAAAATTCAAAACAAGTATTTGTATATATGTTAAGGTTTAATTTTCTTATCTGTTTGGAACTTCTATTTTCCCAATTTTCATTATGCCATGATGTGCATAATTGACATGAGATGGGTCCATGAGGTTTTCAATCAAAAACTCATACCTGAAAAAATAATTATTTCTCAATTAAAATTTTCAAACTCTGATTAAATATTAATTCTACCAAGTAATAATAAATAGGCTAATGCAAACTTTTCTAGAGTTGAAATAATTGTGTAGGAAAATGACTTTTGCCTAAAGTGAGAGAAGTCATTTTAAAATGTTTTTCCTTGAAAGTACTTTATGATAATTTTAATCAAACTTCAGAAAATGACTTATTAACTTTTTATTTTTTCAAAAAAATGACTTATTTTCTTAAAAAAAAATTTCCAAATTTTTTTTTTTTGTCATGCCAAAATAAAACACCAAATATATTTACAAGGGTACTTACCCATATGGGATGTCTCTAACAAGTGTTGTTTTTGCATATGAAGTTAAATCATCTAAAAGTGGAATATAAGGTGGGGTTTTTCTCAAGTGTATGTCCTTGTACAAAGTATCAGTGTTGGGCCAAAACCAAAGAATGTCATTTTGCACAAAACTTGGATACACTGCTACACATGCTCTTTTGGATGTGTGAACCTACAAAAAATTAATATATAGTCACTCCTTATCATAAGTAAATAAAAAAAACTGTACAAAATCATGTGAAAAGTCGAAACATTTAATTAATGATCATTTCACCACAACCTTATTTGTAAAACCCATTGACCTTGAATATATGCAATAATGAGTTAGGAGTAAATCTTAATTTGATATGATAGTAGAGTCAGATCCGATTCAATGCGGGCTCCCGAATATGTGTGTGTGGAAACTCCCCGGGACTGATTGAAGGGGGGTGGAAATACCCCGGGTCAATTATTATGCACACTCCGTACCGGACAGTGGAATTCCGGATCTGAGCGTAAATGCATAAATGAGTCTTTTATTGGCCTCAGTTGTCATCTATGCTCTTCAACTAATTTGAGTGTACACAAGTAGATACTTAAACTTGCATAAAGATGAATAAATATACACACATGTCCTACTTGGCATAATACAAGTAGGACATTACATAGGTTGTGAAATGTCATGTAGGACGTCACATGGGATGTGTGTGTCTAGCTGAGACCAAGTTAAAAGACATGTTTATTTATAATGTCAATGGAATATAATACTGCACAACGATGACGGACGAAAGTCTTGAGTTCCTTATAAGATTTGGGCAACCCTCCTTTTTTAAGCTACCTTTTGAGGGTGTGAATTAAGTTTAAAATCTAATTTAACAAATCAACAAATATTTGGTCGTCCAATATATTTATCACTTAATAATTAATCAAGAAAACATACATTTTTGTTTTCCAATTTCACCCTTATCACTCCAAAAGGACATAAAGTAATTAAGTACTCATATAAGGAACAAATAAATGTAATTTAATCAAATATCTCTTATAGTCCCTCCCTTTCATATATTTTATATGTGAAAGGTAGGAGTTCAAGAAAGAAAGAAAAAGATAGGCTCTTTTTTAAAAAACAACTTATGGTTTTAAACATAAAATAATGTATGTCATTAACCTAAATGTAAAATGAGAAGTTAAAAAAAGTTAAAAGTGTGATTCATTTTGAAATACATCAAAAAAGGAAAATGTTTAAGATGGGATGGATAAAATGCTTTCAGCCCTAATCAGAAATTTTGTGTTTGAGTCTTGAGGTTGGAATGAACTAAATAACGTAAAACAGAAAAAAAAAATGTTATTTATATTATCAAATAATTTTCTTAATAGGTGTGTCAAAACGTTAAATGACAGATAAAAAGAGAGTAGTAATTACATGAGGCTTGTCTCTAGGAGCTTGAGGAATGAACTTGCAATCACCAGAACCACTAAAACACCAACCATGATATACACATTGCAATCTTCCCCATTGATCAATTCTCCCTTGAGAAAGTGGAGCCAATCTATGAGAACAAGCATCATCCATCACTCTCCATTCCTCCAAAATTTTATCCCACCACACTACCAAATCAATTCCCATCACTTTTTTCCCATGTGGCCTTCTCTTATCAAGTTCACTTAGTGGCATTATTGGATACCATTGTGCGTACCAATCAAATTTCTCTTTTTCTTGATTTTTTTCATTTTTAGTACTAATTTCTTGTTCATAATTTGGAAGTAGTTGTTGTGGTTCATTAGTTGAATTAAAAATATTGGTAGTGAAAAGATTGAATCTTGACTTGTGGGGTTGTTGATGATTTAGCGAAAAAGAAAAGTTTGGTTTCTTCTCACATATAATTCTTGAAAATCTAGGTGTTTTCAAGTTGAAGTGAAATGGTGGAAAACAAGTAGAAATTTTAAGAGCTTCCATATAGCTAGCTAGTCTTCAAGTGTATGCTTCTTTTTCTTGTGTCAATCATTTATATAACTCTAACTATTCCTTTGTTCTTTTTTAACGTGATACATAGTGTGCAAATCACGTACGCTAAATTAATTATATTAAAAGTATGGATTACTTACAAATATTAATTAATTTTTTTTTCTTCATTAAAGGACTCTTTATAATTTAAAAAAAATTGGCATACACTATTTTCCTAAAATAATCGTTATTTAATTATTATCTAAATGTTTTTTTAAAAAAAAAATTAAAGTTAAACTATTAAATCTTTACTCATTTTTAAAATAAAGGCTTCTAATATGTAGTAATTTATAATTTTAATACTTTCTTATTTGAATTATATTAAAACTTTAAAACTTTAAATTAATTATTCAATTTTCTAGAAATCAACGAGTGCATAAATGCCAACTAAGAATTTGAAAGAGAAAAGACATAAAATCTCCTCTGAACAGGGGCGGCTCAACAGATCTTGTGGCCTAAGGCAAAATTATATTAAGAGGCCCTTAAATTTATTTTATAAAATTTATACACTAACAAGAAAATCTATTTTCTACCCAATAGATTAATCATTTAAGACAAAAAAATATCAAATTTCACACAAAAAAAAAAAGAAATGAAGAAGAGTACAAAAAATAAAAGTGATGGATTATCGATGTTAAGCTTCAAAACTCAAATAAAATTTTTAATTTGGCTATCATCACAAATAAGAAGAAGAAAAGAACATACATAACCTAATAGTTGAAGTTTTGAGCATGGATAGTAACAAAAATATCCAAATTTCTGATTAAATGATATAATTCTTTTTAAATGATATAATTCATTCCATTAAGTAGCACTCATTGGTGAATATCTAAAACAAATTATAAAATTTGCATATAATATATTAAATTAAAACAACAAAAAAACTTGTGCATGAATATTTTTGTGTTCACGTAGTTTAAGAAAAGATTGAAAAAAAATCATTATGTTATCAATATATATAACTTAGTTCCAATATAAAAAGGATATAATATAAAAATTTGAAGTTAAAACAAATATATCAAATAATGAGTGAAAATATTATGAGAATTTATGAACTTATTGGTAAAAAATACTCTCAAACAAATAAAATAAAAAATATACCATAACAATTTTATTTATATAAATTATATTAATATATAATAAAATTAATAATAATAATTTAAACAAATTTGGGGCCTTCAAATTTTTGAGGCCTAAGGCAATGGCCTCACTGGCCAAGCCTTAGAGCCTCCCCTGCCTCTGAACTTGTCCGCGCAACTTACTTTAGCACTTTAATTATACGAGTGTTTTTTTATTCCCTTAATTTAATCTGAAGTGAATTTAATTACCCCTTAAAGGATGATGTGACAAAATTTGTATCACCAACTTTCTTTAAGCGTGTGAGACAAAAAACACCAAAACACTGATGCATGTCATCTTTTTATTGAATGACATACTTAATAATTTATTTTATTAATTTTTAAATTTCAATTAACTTCTCTTTCTCTGCATCTTCTTCTTCCTTTCTTTTTCTTTTCTCAAAACTCTTTCTCTTTCTTATTTTTTTATTTAGTTCAAGGTAAACATTTACTCTCAAATGTAATTTTTTCCACATTTTTTCTTCTTCTTTCCTATTTTGCTTTTAATCATTTCTTGTTTTTCTGTTTTCTTTGACAAATTTTTTGGTGCTTGATTCACTGACAATATTTTTTATATCAAAAAAAATTATTAGATCTATCTATTTAAAGAGATTTTAAAAAAAAGTCGATTCCACTAAAAAAAATTCAAAAATACTGTTGGCAAAAAATAGATTGTGGAGATTTCGCCCAATTCATTGATAAATTAACATTTTTATGCAAATAATTTTTTAAATTTTTGAGGAAGGTGGTATGATGTAACTAAAACTGAACTGAAATTGCAATGGAAATTTGAATTATAATTTGTAGATTGAGGGGTAAATTCATTGATAGGTTTAATTTTTGGCTCAGTTTTAGATATAATCATGGTGGGTATAGGAGTTGTTGATTTAACGTGGAAATTGACGTCTACAAATAAAATATAGAAATCTATTTTCTTACTAAAAATAGAAAATTGAAGAAGTTTTTTATTTTTATTTTTAACATAAAGAGAAAATCATTATATAATGGAAGAAGAAAAGTTTGAAATTTTTTTTACCGTAAAAGAAAGAGTTGTTGTTGAGAAGGTGACAAACATTGGGGGGAAGACAATTAATGATGAAAAAGAAACAATTATTATTGAGATTTAAGTAATTAATTAGGAATTTAGTTAATGTACACATGGACGAATGAAAACACGTGTGACTCAACATCGCCCAATCTTCAATTGGGCTGGTGACGGGAGGGTTGAAAAAAAAAATACTTAAAAAATGTTAAGGAATATTTAAACACCCTTATAATTAAAGTGCTAAAATAAATTATGCGGATAAGTTCAGCGGATTTTATTTTATGTCTTTTCTCAATTTAAAATAAGGGCACCATAATGTTATGCTCTCCAATATCTTCTCGTTTTCTGTCCCAAAGTATCAAATTCTTTTACCCATAAAAATGGAGCCTACACTTTGATTGAATTTTATTTGGGTAAGAGAGTTTTAGGGTTTCTGTAGCAAATTTTTATTTTCAATCTTTTACCCATAAAAAGAATTAATACATAATGCACTAGCTACAGATTTGATGTAGACATTTTATTTATATATTAAATAAATATAGATAGATACATATCCAATCTTCAATTCTAGAAGAATATAAGTTATTCTTATTCATTATACTCGACACATGTGTTTGTGCTAGCATGAATTCAATATTTGTTATTTTTTTAATCTCAATTTATGTGATATAGATAGAATTAGGTAAGTCAATTAAATTTTAATATGATTTTTAGTTATTTTATGTTGTTAATTATTGTGATTTATAGTATCATAATTTTTAAATAATATATGTTAGTTACTCTCCTTGTTCCAATTTATGTGATACTGCTATATTTTTTAGAATCAATTTAATTTTTTTTATGTCTTTTATTTTTTTAATTGTGATCTATATTACTTTTACGTCATTTCTAAACAATATATGTTACTCATCTATCCATATTTATGTGACACTGCTTCGAGGGTCAATCGAACTTTTTATACGTCTTTTAAATATTTTAAGTCGCTAATCATTGTGATTTATAATATTTCTTACGTAATTTTCAAATAATATATATTACTCAATTTGTCTCAATGTATGTAGCACATATAGAATTTCAAGAGTCAATCAAATGTTGTTAATTATTGAGATTTACAATAATTTTTACCTAATTTCCAAAATTAAATACATGTTACTTCTTTTGTCTCATTTTATGTGACACCGATAGATTAATTTGAAGATACATATCTAAATTCATTTCTTTTTCATACAAACAGTTTAGCAATGGATTAACAATAAATTAAAATCCATATCTAAATTCATTTTTTCATATGATATTTGTTATCAAATGAGGTATATATGCGCCTCAATCACATGCAAAACACATACACTATGCAACTTATAAATGTCGATGAATCGGTGTGAATTGGAGGAATAATGTTGTAATAATTAGTAAGAATATTATACTACGTTATTTTTTTGTGTTAAACTATGATTAGAGGTTTACGAGAGCTTTATCACAAACCAAATTCAATATTTTTGTATAGTTTTGTGGTGTGTTTTTGTGTATCAGTTTTAGTATTAATATAATTTATAAAGAAATATATATATAATTTATGTTTTTTTTATATTGATAACGAAATTTTATTCACTATTTTTAATTTTACTTCTTAATTATTGATGTGATGATAAATTTATAATATTTTTTTTTATTCAAAAGATTATACTATAATCATGTCTACATGACAACAAATCTTTGAGAGCTTCCATATTTCTTTTCCTTGTGTCAATTATTTATAATATATTCCAAAGTATTCTCTCCGTTCATTTTTAAATGAATTTTGTCTTTTTAAAAAAAAAATCATGAATGAAAATTTTATTTATTATGATATTTATATTAATTAGTAATAATTTCAATGGGTTTAAGAAATAATTTAAAGAATAAATAATTAATGTAAAGGGTAAAATAATTTATAATATGTAAGTGTGTATATATATATATATATATATATATATATATATATTAGAAGAGAGGGTTTCAACATGTCACCTCAGTGACATTAAATGAAAGTTTAAGGATATAATGGTATTTTGAAAGATGATTAAATTCGGATTCACGTCGAGAAGTTTCACATTGGGGTAAAGCGCTCCCTAACAAAGACGATTCCGTATCCAAGGAAAATTGAATCTGAGAGTTCTTGATAAAAAATGAAGGAATACTTATTGCTCCACAACAATCTTTGTTGGCGTGTTTTCCGCTTTATTCTTTATATCACATCAATAACTCCATAAAAAACCCTTTTTCTGTTAAATTACAGATGATGTCATTCACTGAAATATCATTGAATGTGGTGGGACCCATTGAACTACAATTGTGGTCAATTCCCTCAACTTTTGCCTTATTTATTATTTTTAATAAAACACTTTTGGGCCATTTTATTTATGAAACTAGATATTGGATCCATGCTAGCATAGGCCCACATATATTATTTGGTTGTTTTAATTAATATGACACAAATATTAATTGAAGAGTCAATTAAATTTTAATATATAAATATTTTAAGTTGTTAATTATTGTGATTTATAGTATTTTTACATATTTGTAAATAATAGTATTTTATTCTCAAAATGTGGAACCAATGAAATTCTGAGAAACAATCAGAATCTTTTTATGTGTTTTAAATATTTTAACTTGTTAATTATTGTAATTTATAGTATTTTTTGTTTAATTTTCAAATAATGTATATTATTTCTTTAGTCCCAATTTATGTGTCATTTTAAAGTGATTTACAATACTTTTTACGTTATTTTCAAACAATATAAGTTACTTTT